TTGGACCCAATGGCGTTCTGACCCCTTCCAACTCGGTATTCTGTGATTCTGCAAAATGCAAATCATCCAGAGGAGCCTCTGAGCTTAACAAAGCAGTCTGTTGAAGCTAATCTGGTGCTTACTTCCCAAAACTCTCCTTATGGGCATGTTTGTGCCCTACCCCGTAGGGAGGGGTCATCTGAAAGTGAGTAGACTCCTCTCCACTCACTGCCCATCTAATTCAGCCTCTCACCTCTGATGGCACCTTGCCACAGGGTCCAGTTTAGAAGGAAAGGCTTGACCCACATCTGGGAAGAAGAAGAAGTAGCGTTAGAAGGGGCCTATCAGGCCCTCAAGTCCTTTGACATACTAGCTTGATGCATTGCTATGCAGGCAGGCATTTCACAGCCCATTTGGCCTTTTCTGCGGAACCAGCATACTGCAAATGGCAAATAAAGAGAAAAAAGAAGATTTGTTAAGAGTAGACACTTCCCGAACTATAAAGAGGGGAAAAGAAGATACCATTGTAAGTGGAGTGCTGAAGATCAGGAGGCAACGCTCAGCTTTGTCCAGGTCAGCAAAGGGTTTTATAAGGAAGCCAGTGAAAGAGGAAACACAAAAAGGAAGCATTTAATCCCTGGCCCTTTTTTTCTATACCACTACCTTAGTTTCCCTCCAATAAAATTGTCCCAATTGGTGTAATAAAAATATAAATTTAGTGTGGCAGGATTTATTCTTGGCAAATGTAGGCAGACTCCTAGTAGTCACTGCACAGTTATCAAGAAGCTTAAAAACGGACCCCGTTATCATATGTTTGGGCTAGAACAGGTCTAGCATTTGCCCTTCTTCAATTCTGTGGCATCTCTAGGGTTTCTACATGAACTTCTGAGACTACCTTAGCAACACCTGAGCATATGTCATCTGGCCCTGAAAACTATACCTCATCTAAGGTATCTAGATATTTGCTGGCCAGCTCCTTGGTCTTGAACTCCAATCCTGGCCCTTCACCAGAGAATGTATGCAAAGGTTTTAAAATAAGAATGGAACAGTTCTACCTTCTCATTAACATTTCATCATTTTGTGGAGCCGGGGATCTACCATTTACCTCTGCTTGCTCCAAACTTACCTGAAATATCTCCTGGTTTTGCTCATTGTGCCTTTACCAAGTTCAGCTCATTCTGGCCTTTAGGCAGGATCAGGACTTGGGACATTCTGCATACCAAGAACATAGATGGGGCTCAAATAGCATAGCCCAAACGCAAGAGTTGAGTGTGGATTGTGGAACTGTAGGTTGTTGTTGTTGAGCATAAGCAGTCATGTTGTGTGAACCGAGCTGCGCTAACAAGCCATGACTTGTTAACCATGAACAAGTCATGGAAAGAAACCATGGTTTGTTGTTGGGTTACGAATTGTGGGTTGTTCACCATTGTTCATTACCATGGCTGTGCTCAGACCACAATGTAACCAACATTTCAACAACAACCCACAATTCAATGATAACCCTTGAATGTGGTTTATTGCATTGTCCAAATCCAGACACAGCCTATCACCGAGCTATTCAAAGATTTTTAAAAGAGATTTGATATGTGTACGATGTTATTTGTACTGTTCTTCTAGGAATTGTTTTCATTACCATTTTTCTTGCTATTTTCTATGTTTTTGTTTGTACTGCTGTTATCACCTTTCTAGAAATTTGATGGGGGGAAATGGGCCTCTGCCAGAAGATGTACGTTCTGCTGAGGTACGACAGAATTGACTTCATTGTCTCTACTGTGTAGTGCAGTGAGTGGGTAGAAATCGTGTTGCTGTGACTAACGAAGCCAAGGAACGGAGGCAAGTTAGAATGCTGAAGAGGTGGTTCTGGGGGGAAAGTTCCTCCTGCTAGACAAAACAAGCAGAAATCAAACCCACGTACGGCAACGCTATGTGCGTCGTCTCTGTAGCAAATAAAGGTTCTGTGATAATAACCCCAGGCAGAGCAACTGAGAAAGCGAGAAGCAGAGAGGTGGGTGGATAAACAGATTAAATCGTGTTTGCATTCCCTTGAGAAAATCAGTTAACACTAAGGGGGGGAAGTGAGAAAATGGAGAATGCCTGGCCATGGTTTCTCATCCGCAGAGTTGCCAAATGTTGATCCAGCCAGCTCTGGTGCAGCCTCTGGGAGACCCTCCTCTGAGAAATGCAGCTGATTCTGACTTGGCAATCCTTTTTGGTGTCAGGTTAAGTGCGTTCGGTCGTCTGTTCGTTTGTTTTTCATTCATTTCTGTGCATCTAATAATGGAAACTCTGGGAAGTGAATGACAGTTAACAAATACTATAAAATGCATCATGAAACAACAATGTAAGCATAAAACATATAATTTTAAAACCATATTTTAATAACTGAAAGAAGCTCAGTCTGCTTGGCCTGCTAAAAAACAACTGGCAATACCCCCCCCCCCTCCCCATGTGCTGTTTGATGTTGGTAAATGGAGTTGGTGGTCCCAACCTGGGACCAAAAATACTAAAATTGGTACCCGTGGGGAGGTCATTTGGGGCGACCACAGAGAAGGCCCTTCTTGTTGCCACCATCCAAGCCTTCCTTGGAGGTGACATTTGAAGGACATGTTCCCAGTCCAGCACAAACGGTGCCTCATGATGGAAGCATCAATTCTTTGTGTAAGTGAAGTACTGCATCTCAATATAAGTGGTAGACTTGGTTAAGAGCGTTTCTTCCAAAGTGTTCCTAGACCTTACAATGCCCTCCTTACCACTCATAACACTTCTCCATTTCTTCCTCCTCACTTCCTCCTTCTCATGATGGCTGGTTTTGTTTCTGAACTCCATACATATTGTTATAAGTATAGATTAGGGGACAAGTGGCTGGAGAGCGGCACTTGTGAAAGGGATCTTGGGGTACTGGTTGACTGTAGGCTAAATATGAGTCAGCGGTGTAACGTAGTGGTCAAGAGGGCGAACGCCACCCTTGGTTGCATAGCCAGAAGTGTGGCTTCTAGATTGAGAGAGGTGTTACTGCCACTCTACACGACTCTGGTGCGCCCGCAACTGGAGTATTGTGCTCAGTTCTGGGCCCCTCATTACAGGAAGGCCACCAGGTCAGAGTCAGTGCAGCGTTGGGCCACAAGGAAGGTGGCCGAATTGCAGGGAAAGCCATTTGAGGCGAGACTGAGGGAACTGGGTCTTTTCATCCTGGAGAAGAGGAGACTCTGTGGGGGAGGGGGGGATACGTTGCTGACATATAGATATGTGAGGGGGTGTCATGCAGAGGTGGGTTGAGACCTGTTTTCCCCTGCGGATTTGGGCAGGATGCATTCCAATGGAGCAAAGCTCAGGGAACCTAGATTTAGTGTGGATGCCAGGAAATACTTTCTGATGGTTAGGACCCTTAGGGTATGGAATGGGCTTCCAAAGGAGATGGCTGAAGCCCCATCAGTGAGGGTGTTCAAGGACAGGCTGGACATGCACATAATAGGCATGTCGTGAGCGGAGCCGGCTGGAGCCGGGGGTCAGACTAGATGGCCTGGGAGACCCCTTCTGATGCTCTGTTTCTGTATTTCCATGAGATTAGGCCTTTGAGCTGTGTACTTTGTGGACCATAAATGATGCGCCTCTTGCTGGACCTCCAGAGATTTCCATTTGTGTGCAGCCTCTGTTCTCATTGTAACAATTAAGCTACTTGAAAGGCTGCCGTGTGGTCCCTGGGAGAGCATCCCTTGGCATAAGGCAAATCAGACCCTCACGTCTCAGCTCAGGGGCAGATCCAGCCCTGTGCTTCCTCCCGTCAGGTGCCGGAAGAACCATACTAGTCACCTTCCAAAGTTGGAAAAATAACCTCAGAGGGGGAGAGATGGGACTGCTGCAGTAGACTGGTGCTATGGATGAACTGCAGTCGGCAGGATATGAGTTGCCCCCAAGCGTCCTCACTGGATGGACTAAAATGCCTTATAGTGAAATTGGCAAGGTGGGAGGATGGGGGGAGCACCCCATCTTTCCTGCACCCCACACCCCGCTTGGATTTATCCCAGGGGCTTCCAGACACGGAGGGCATCTTATCATCTTACCTTCATGATCTTTAACAAGCAGAAAAGGAGGTTAATCACTCATTCTGGCAGTTTCTGCCTATGACTGTAGAGCCGATGACTTTCAGCCTTTTATGACCCTTACTTTGATTCCCTCTTAGCTTCCTGCTCTTTTGACCATTGTTTTTTTGGATGTCCTTTGAAAAATGGCTTCATGGCACTTTGTGCACGAGAATGACAAATGCCGCCCCTTCTGCAGGGAGTTCTTTTGGTTTTATTGGCTTGTGGACACTTCCAGAGGCTTCATTCTTTGCTGAATTCCTCAAGAGTCACCTGCCGCACTGTCAGATCGGCTGATGAGACAGGTTAAGAATCCGTGGTAGTCTATAAGAAAATGTATTACTGCCCGAACCTTTTATACCTGTTTCTTTGTTTGATTGTTTAAAATGTTTACATGCTGCCTATTCCACCAGTGGCATCCCTAGGCAGCTCACAATAAAGGCAATATAAGGAAATATGAGTGAATAAAGAAATATGCTCTTTTAACAGCCACAAAGTTAGCAGAAAGTTAGAAATGAGATTAAAATGATTAGTGCTATTCCAGTTAGCCATAAAAAGATACAGGTTTTTAATGTAAGTTTGGCTTTCCTTCTTTACTTAAAGAGGTCAGGCAAACATAAGATAATTAGAGAGTAAATCAATAAAATGAGGGGCACAGCAGAGTTTGGTGTCCATAGGGGGAAGGAACCTGGAAAACAGAATCCCGAATCCCAACAAGATTTCAGTCACAGCCCCAACTGTGTGCAAATCTTTGTTAAACTAGGTTTCACATTTCAGGTAACACATTTTTAATCCTAGTTTTGTGCGGTTCGCAGAATTTCCTTCAGTTTCCAAAAGCCTTTCCTGTTAGTATTTGCAAGATCTTTTCTAACCACGTTTTGAACTGATGGTAAGGCATTAATTTCTCATTCTTTCCTCCCCACCGCCTCCATGTTTGAACAGGTTCCAGAACCTTCTCTGGTCCCGGAAAGCGTTTGTGGAGAGTGTTAAAGTCTACAACCAGAGCTACATTTATATGCCGGCCTTCTCCATGAAAACGGGGACGGAGCCTTCTCTCCGGGTCTACTACACCTTAGCCGATGTTGGCGCCAGGCAAAGGGTGATCTTTGCCAACCCAAATTTCCTGCGCAGCACCGGAAAGTTCTGGAAGGGCAAAGGAATTCATGGAAAGCGGCTTTCCACAGGCCTCTTCCTGGTCAGTGCGGCCCTGGGCTTGTGTGAAGAAGTGACGATTTATGGCTTCTGGCCTTTTTCAATAGACTTGCATGGGAAGTTTATCAGTCATCATTACTATGATAATGTATTGCCTGACTCAGGCTTCCATGCCATGCCAGAGGAATTCTTGCAGCTTTGGTTTCTCCACAAAAGGGGAGTACTACGGATGCAGCTAGAACATTGCGAAGAATCTGTATTTTATTCCGCAGACTGAGAACTTTGAGGAAGATCTGAGGAAGCCTGTTCTGAATTCTACAACAAGCACAAACTGAAAAAAGGGAAGGAAAACAACCCAAACCCAATTTTTATCAGATTTGCATGGCCTGTCACAATAATAAATAATGTCATCAACCTGGAAATGAAAAGAAGAATTAAGAGTCCGTTCGTGCGCAGTCCCGTCAAGTCCTTGGTGGATGTTATTCAGCAAAATGAAGTTTGACTGTGCATTGCCAAGGTTGTAATTCAAGAATATTAAAAGGTTTCAAGAGGGGTAAGGTTGCAAAGGGCTTTCAGTGATAGTGCTGAATACTTCATGTTGTTCAGATTTAAGACTGATACCCATACGATTGGGAATACAGTTCTTTCTTTCAGTGGTTTGTTGCCAACACTGGATCTCGAAAGGTGCCTGTAGCCATCCATCCAGTTTCCGTCAAGAAGCGTTGAACTAATGGTGGAACAGTGCCAATTCTCTCTCTTTATTTTTAAATAACCAATAACTTCTTTCGGTAGCAGCATTTTGCAGTCCTTGTAGCACAAACTGGGGATTTTTTTTTAAAGAAATGTGAATGTTTTGTAGCAAAATACTTATTTTTTATGAAACAGTTGCCCAATATTTTCTATGAAGTACGGTTGCTCTTGAGTAGTCAAGATGGCTTCCTGGTCATAAAGTCAGCCCCGTATGATCCTGCAAGATGGACCTGGGCACAATTCTGAGCTGGTCTCACGATGTCCACGTGTAAACTGTTTGCTCAAGGATAAACAAGGATCAGGCTGCTCGATAGGAGTGTGGCTGCTGGCCTTAGTTTCTGTAGCTCCTAGCTTGAACCACGTTTGAGATGACTGCAGGTTACGTGCTCCAATTTCTTTTCGAAGTCACACTACATCCCACTACATCCCAGGGCTCACCAAGCAGGCCATGCAATCCACTTGGGCCATTCAGCCTTTCAGAAGGGCCATGGCCTCATTGATGGAGTACACGTTTGGCAAGCGGATTGTCCTTAATACCTCCAGAGAAATTGAGTCTTAGGTGGTGGTTGGGAAAGACCTCCCAACTGGAGACACCAGGGAGCTGCTTCCAGCCCGAGCAGGTAATATTGGATTAGAAGGGCCCATGGCCTGATGCAGCATGCAGCAGCTTCATCTGTGCAAACTCACTTTGGAATTAAGGCTGGCTTTGATCCAGCTGTCCTAATGTTGAGCCTGCTCTTTGCTTCACCCTAGCATCACTGGACTCTTCACCCTCCAAAATTTGCAGTGCTTGCCGTTTTGGTTTTGGGCTGTAGCCTTTTCACTGTGTAGGTACACCGAAAAGCTCTAGGCCAAGGTGGGTGGCTTCCTATTGAAAGACATGGGGGAGTTATCAGTTGGGCAAAAGCTGCCAGTGGTGTTACCTGTGCCATTCCAGTTGAAGGACCTTTGTTCATCTCCCATCCACACCTTACCATTCATTTCAGGGAAGCTTGTGCTGAAGAAGTTATTAGCAGAATTGTTCACACCAGAGACACAACTACACCAAGTAACCCAACTGCTCACATGAACGAAGGATCAAAGAGTGCGAAGGGCTTACTTCTACGAACCATACGGTGTCAAGCTAGGCATAAGGGCAGAAAAAGCTCTCCGCAATTCTCCCCCAGTTTCCCCTTGATGGATTGTGATACTAAAAATCCTCCACATACTCTCTGGATACCCACATATTTGCTGAGTATTCACAGAATATTTATTGACTGTCACCCTTATATATAATTACAAAGAAAGTGTGTTTTTTCCTAGCAAAACCACTATTTTATTTATATGCAGATTTAATGTCCTAAAACTGATTTGATGAGGGTGTAATCCTATGGCTGCAGGGTTCAGAAGGTTATGGGTAACGTTACTGGATTGCCCTCTTAACTAAGAATATAGTAATACCATTCCAAACAAGCTTCCTGTTCATATTTTTGTGAGGCAAGTACTTGTATTTTGAAAGGGCCTCCAGATCAACCGAGCAAGAGGGCTTTAGCTCCTCCTGGAATTAGCTGGGAGTCTCAGATGGATTAAATCTGCATAAATTAGCATGTGAATTAAGAATGGTTGCAACAGGAAAAAACATTCTTCCTTAGTTTTTAGAAGGCACTAATATGGTGCAGTAGGTACCCCATTGTGAAAGTGAAGAGAAAATGCTTATCTCCAATTTTATAAGTACATTTAAAAATAATTAACATTGTGTGTTACTGTGTTGACCAATTAACTGGGGATGTCTCTTTAGTCTTAAAAATTGGTTCACTCTAACCAATTAATCCAATGTGAAAGCTTTAATATTCTTTACTTGTTTTCCAGTGATGCTTGCTTTCCACATGCACTGTTTTTCCAGATTTGATGGTTGGTATGTTGAAAGTGAACTTAGTGACTTAAAGTCTTTTTCAGTTGATGGCTTACCAGATTTCATCTGTGATGCATGTAAAAATCAGTTCAGATGCCAACTTATTTGGAAGCACTTATGTTTCAAAATGAGATAACATCTTTACATTGAGAATGTGAATGCAATTTTGAGATATAACATATTGTGCTCACTGTTTGAAATGGGCAGTAGGTGATAATTACGTTTGGAATATTTGTGCTCGTTTTAGCTTTAGTCTGAATTATGTCACCTTTGGTTATAATACCATTTGCAGTGGCCAAAATAGGATCAGTTTAACTCCTCTGAAGCTTGGCTCCCACTTTAGGATAATTTCCTTGCAGAAGCAATGCTTGTTCATCTGTTTTTGAACAATAGCAGTTTTTTGCATTCAGTTCTCCAGTGATAACTGGAGTTATCAATGAAATAATGTAGTGAAAACTTTCACATTACACCTTGTGTAATCAAATTTGATCTGAGCACCCCAGAACAATGCTGAGCCAAAATGCAGGAGGGACAGCCTGGGAGTATTTCCTTCCATGAAACATGCGCACCTTGTCTGAACTGTTCGGGGGAACTGCAAATATAAGTGAAAATATCCTGGCTGCCTCACTGGCAGTTATTGAGTATGTTGCCAGTGCTTCCTTCCCTCTGAACTGTCTTCTTGAAATCAACACAGTCAGATGTGATTGGCTGTGTGGCAGCATTGCTAAATCATATCAGAGTGATGGCAACAAGCTCACTCTGAACTGGCTTTGTGACATTGCCTGGAAGCCAGGTATAATTATATGGCATCATGATGGCCGAACAAACAGAAAGAATAAGATGTAGGCCCTCCCTCCCTCCGTGTGTGTGTGTGTGTGTGTAGGGGTGGATTATGCTGGCCCAGCCACTGAAGTCATGGATACTGAAGAACAGGTGCAAAAAGCAAACAAAAAGCAAACTGGACAATATTTCAGCTGAGATTATCTCAGTTTTGTGCCAGAAATGTTCCCTAGAGAAAGACTTACAACAATAACTATTCTGTTGCTTGCTGACTTGTATGGACAGTTTTGAAATGTGTCCATTGTAAAATTTGGTTCCATATAGAAAAACAAATAGGCCATTGAGTGCACTAAACCATCTGGAACAGAGTAATAAGAGGCAATATTGAAATCTAAAAATAAATAACATTGTAAGTTTTTTTTTTTTAAATGCACACCTATAGGTATAAAATGTCAGTGAGCCAAACAAATGTATGTTTTGAGAGCATTTGTCCTACCAGTGCTGCTTCTGCAGCATGTAACTAAGTGGCCAACATCATTGTGTTGCCGTTGTCCTTGTGAAGTGGTCCTCATCCACACGTATCCAAGAATAAAATTTAGGGAATGGAGGGGATTTCTATTTCTCCTGGTCGGCCACTGCAGCAAAGTGAAAATAACCGTCCATCCTATTTCTCAGTCCCGCTACCTCTGCCTCCTTAAGGAATTATTCAAGGCTCATCCACCCTTCCAGAAAAAGCATGTGGTACCCTCTTCAAGAGGCTATTTCAGAACACAGAGGGTGCTTGTCACATCTTCACATGCCTTTCCATGTCCAGTACTCATTGCATATTCCAAACTAGCAGGTCCGGGAGAAATCCAGGTTAGAACCCTTTCTCTTTGAGGGCTAGAACCCTTTCTAGGGGTGGAGAGGTCTCGGTCAGGAGAAGCATCCAGGCCTTTGAGCACATGTCATGAGTCCTAGGTCTGATTCCTTCTAGGACAGGACTACATCCTCATTCTGAGCCTTGTAGGCAACCCGGAGAAGTAACTTTCACCTGAATGCTTTGCCGTTCATTCGTGTAAGCCTGGAAGCTGGAGGACCACGTGTTAAGGGCATTCTGTAGTTATGCCATTGGATAGAGATCATGCATCTGGCTTCAGGAAGCATCAGAGAAGAAGCAGTAGGCAGACAGTTCAAGATCGGTCACCTGGAGGTCATGAGCCACCAAGCCAAGGTGAGACAGCAGGTGCTTATTGTTTGGAAACGAAGGCTATTAGCTGTAGATCTGAGAATACTGTGTGCCGTTCTGGGCACCAGGATTGAAGAAAGATGCAGAAAATTAGAAAGGGCCCACCCAGAGCAGGGCAACAAAAATGATGCAGGGTTTGGAAACTGACCTATAAGGAGAGAGAACTGGGCATGTTCAGTCTTGAGAAAGAGAAGGCTGAGGGGGACATGATAACCCTCTATAAGTACCTCAAAGGCTGTCACAAAGAGGAAGATTAAGAGCTTTTCTTGCTGATACCAGAGCATAGATCACAGAATAATCAATTCAAGCTGCAATAACCCAGGTTCAGGCTGGACATCAGGAAAAGCTTCCTCACTGTCAGAGTAATTTGACAGTGGAACCAGCTACCTGGGGAGGGTTGGGCTCTCCCACACTGGAGACATTAAAAAAAAACTGGGCAGCCCTCTGAGTGGGATGGTGTAAGGTGGTGTCCTGCAACAGCAGGGGGGTGGACCTGATGGCCTTCATGGCCCCTTCCAACTCTACTATTCCGTGATCTGTTGTCAGAGGACAAGGGTGCAACAGGAGTCACTCCAGAGATGAGAAGGATGAGAATTAGCCCTTTTACACTGCCTGTTTTCCTTCCTTCCTTTACTTTTGTGCATCCCTGGCTCAACGAGGTGTAGCTGCAACAGTT